CTTATGTAAAGTAATGACGATATGTTTTCACGTGTGCGCACGCGCACTTACATACGCGATCTCTCTTTTTTCTTTACCATTATCGTTAGCTACTTCTATTGTTCCATTTATTAACATTAAATAACATTACTTAAAACAACCATATTAATTTTACTACAGCTACAACCAAGGTCTTATTTTCTTCAGTTTTATATGTAGAACCAGTCAGTCACTGGTTTTGTAATCAACGAAAACAATGCTGTGTCATTTCCTCGTGTGTTTTAATATTCTACGTATTATTAATGAATTGTATTGCTCATTTTGCACACATAAACATTAATTCAATAAAAAAGACATTCAGTAATAAACAATAATGAATCTTTTGTACATAAGAGAAATGACGCTGTTTACACGATTATGCACGTCGTCTGCACGTTGGCGGGCCGTTCAAACCCGTCGAAATTCAAGTTTCCGCCGTCAAAATTTTTATTTATTTATTTTTTTGTGTGTTCCAATAAAATACGTTAAGAATTAAAAACTCGCGAAATTTGAGAAGCTACTATACAACATTTAACCCTTCAATATGTCTTCAAAGAGACCATGATGCAGAGAAAGTGGTGCTAGTGCTTCCAGGCATAAGCACAAGTCACTATCTATCCAGGAAAAGGGTGAATTTCCATGGTCCAGCACCGGTCAGGTCCCGAGGTTGCCGAACTAGAGAGGTACAACCTGTATACCGTATATACTCGTCTATAACCCCCCTTCGTATATAAGTCGACCCCGATTTTTTGACCAAGAAATTTTTAATTTATGATATTCCTCGTTTATAGGTCGACCCAAGTTTTTGAGGGTAAAGGAACAACAAAACCTTCAGAGAAACACTACGTCCTATAAACTTGTTTACCATTTATTATTACGACACTTTACACTGAAACGCGGGTAGTTTAAAAAAACTATTTGTATATTTCCATTCAAGTATTTATTCAAGTCAATTAGGAGGGAATATTATTGTAATACAATAGTTTTTTAACTGAAAACCATTCGAAAAGCGATTACGGTAACATATTTTGAACGAAAGAAAGCAAAAGTCATTGTTTTCGTCACAATTTTATCCCACTTTCCACTGTAATACGTACGTCATTTCAGCAAAAAATATTACATTTCCGTGAATGTATTGTATCAAGCACAGTATGAATAGAATATCACTAATATAACAGTATTTTAACCGAAAACTAATAAAAAAACGAGTAACATATCTTGAACATCGGAAGGTTTGGTAAAGTCTTTTGTTTCATGTAGTTTATCCTAATTTACATTGAAATACATCACGTTTCAGCAAAACTACTATTTATTTCTGAGAATATGGAAATGTAATATTTTTGCTGAAATGACGTACTTGTTATAGTGGAAAGTGGGATAAAATCGTGACAAAAACAATGACTTTCGCTTTCTTTCGTTGAAAAGATGTTACCGTAATCGCCTTTCGAATGGTTTTCAGTTAAAAACTGTTGTATTACAATAATATTCTATCCTAATTCACTTGTGATGTAACAGTTTTTTAACAGAAAACGATTCGAAAAACACGTGTACCGTCTAGCTGATACGGCAGAGCCCTGGTCGCGGAGGCTTTGTGTTTGCTTCGGCCCTTCTTAAGCAGCTTTTAATTTTAGCGTACGTTGAAATTGTGTTTACCGGTATACAGTGGGGTATGCTATAACGAACGTAATTGGTTCCAGAACCTCGTTCGTTATAGGATTAATCCGTTCCAGGCCCCCAAATACAACCACTTAACACTGAAAAAATTCTGTGGAAAATGTAAAAAATACGGTACTTTATCTTACCTTAGTGTTATTCAGCATGCAGGTACCCCTAAACACTGGCACATCACTATCACTTCCACTGGGAGTCTTGGCTTTAAGGTCCTCAAACAATTGTTTAGCCTTCTCACAAATTATAGCTTCACTAATGTTACCACCTGCCATTTCTTTCTCCTTTATCCACACTAAGAGTAAATTTTCCATCTCTTCAATCACATTACACTTTGCTTTGCTAAGTCTAAAGATTCCCTTAGCCACTTGCACAGTTTTTAACTCCTCTTTATTCTTCAAAATCGTACATATAGTCGATTTAGCCATCCCATATTCATCACTAAGTTTCGCAATGCTTCTTCCATTCTCACGTTTCTTTACAATTTCTTTCTTAGTTTCAAGGGTTATTAGCTTTCTCACTCGCTTTGGACGACTCATTGTTACAATTGTATACTTGTATAACAAAATAGTTATACAAATAACGCGAATTTCCACATCAAAAGACGAAATTTCAACAATAACAGTGGTGCACTGGCTACACAATGAGACAAAGATGGCGCCTGACGCTCTTGTTGTGGGTCGCGGTACAACAATATTCATGCGCCAGGCGAAATAGTCCCGTATTCATCCGCGTTCGTTGTAGGAGTTGCGTTCGTTATAGCATTCTCAATTTTATAGGTAAAACCGTTCGTTATAGGAATATTCGTAGTAGGATCCGTTCGTTATAGCATACCCCACTGTATTCTATTTTCTTCCTTCTTATTTTCCAGAAATATGACAAGTTTGTATATAATACAATGTTACGGTACTTTTAATTTACAAGTATTCATTTTTAAAAATACAGAAGACACCAAACAAATACCAGTACTACGGTTATTTGTGTGACTCTCCCGCCAAAAAAGACCAAACAGCTGGTACTCTCTCCCTCAGCCCTACCAAAAATAGCCCAACGACATCTTTCTTAATTATTCTCTTCCAATTTCTCACTTTAATTGGTATTTTTTACTTCATATTGCCTACATCAGATAAACTACAGTAATTGAGGTTAGACACTGTTATAAATTTGATTACCGGGTCCTGGCAGGTGCCGTTAGAACCACCTGACCCTACCAACAGTGTTGCAAGTCAGACAGCATTTTTTTAATCATCCATGTGCACGAGAAAGGATGGATGGATGAAGGCGGCATACAAATATGGCTTAAAAAAGTCTGAACTTTAGACCAGGGGGACTGCACAAAGAAAAAAGTCTTCTTGTGTGGTATATGTTTCGGTCACATCTTGTTGACAGTGTTTACTGCTGGGATTAGGAAGGAAAACACTGATACAGCTGTGATTCCTGGTGGATTAACAAGTCTTGTCCAACCACTGGATGTTTCCTTAAACAAACCATTTAAAGATGCGGTAAGAGTGAAGTGGAACAACTGGATGATAGAAGGCGATAAGACATACACAAAGGGAGGCAACATCCAAGCTCCATCACTAGCAACATTATGTGAATGGATTGTAGAGGCCTGGGATGCAATCAGACCAGAAATTGTGGTGAAATCTTTTAAGAAATGTGGGATTTCGAATGCTCTTGATGGAACAGAAGACGACTTGTTGTGGGATTATGAGGCTAATGAGAGCGTGAATGAGGATGAAGATATTGATGATCCTATGGCTGATGATGGTGTTGATCCATATGACGATGCTGTTCAAGGAGAGGACTGGGAGGAGCTGTTTGGTGCTGAGGACAAGGAAAATGATTTTGATGGATTTTAATGAAAATATTCAGAAATATGGTATTGTAGTATTTATTCAAGTCAATTAGGATAGAATATTATTGTAATACAACAGTTTTTAACTGAAAACCATTCGAAAAGCGATTACGGCAAAATCTTTTGAACGACGAAAGAAAGTGAAAGTCATTGTTTTCGTCACAATTTTATCCCACTTTCCACTGTAATACGTACGTCATTTCAGCAAAAATATTACATTTCCATATTTATTTCTGAGAATATATTCATTCAGGCACAGTTAAGGTAAAATATACTTGTGATGTAATATTTTAATGAAAATATTTATAAATAAGGTATCGTATTTTTCTTTTGTTTCAAATTTAATTAACAAAGATTGATGTTTCAAATTTAATTTAAAAAAATTTATGTATCCATAAATAAACTTTTAAAAATGAATACTTTATGTTTTACATACTCCTGTGCATACCATACCATACCATGCATTTGGCTACTTTGGGCTTGCTATGATGACGCAAGAGATCTGCCCTGGCAACTGTACCGACACTCACAGCGGGTGGTGCGTTGGTGCGTCGTTTCCATTGTTTACTGGTAGTTACTGGTAAATATTTTTCAACCTAACGAAACTATTACCCGTATAGAGGTCGACCCCCAACTTTTTGCCCAAAAATTTGGTCTTAAGAACTCGTGCTATACACGGGTATATACGGTATATATATATATATATATATATATATATATATATATATATATATATATATATATATATATATATATATATATATATATATATATATATTTTTAGTCCATATAACACGCGGACTTTGAACATGTAATCAACGACCTCACCAGCCAGGACTCGAACCCTTGACCTAATGCATGGGACCAGGGAACACTACCGACCATACCAGTGAAATGATTTGGGGTCGCACTGGATAGTTGACAACACTGGATGGGGTCGTGCTAAAAAAAAGCTTGGGAACCCCTGCTCTAGGATCTGGCACATTAAGTGACAAAGGTCACTTGATTCCCTCCACACCATTAGGAGAACAAATTGGAAAATATGATATCTCTTCTCAGCCAATCAAATAAAGAGGCTATGATGTCTGAGTCTCTCAAAATGTGATGGTCACATCACTGCCTGACAGTTCATGGTTAAATTTTATACTGCACCAATATAGGAACAAAAATTGAGACTATGTTTCTTTTTCATGAAATTTTTTTCCACACTGAATATTTCTATGTCAGTGCACAGTGTTTAAATCTTCCATTGATTTGCTCAAATGCACAAAAGATTATTTGAATAAAATATCAATGTCTTGTAAGCATTCAGCAAAGAAAACTGACTGAGGTAGCTCTCATTTAAGACAAAGATTTATTTATATAACCAAAAATAGTTTGAAAGAAATTAGACACCAACACCTAACATTCTTCAACTAGCCAAACAATCACTGCTGAAGGAGATACATTACTATACCTTCTATCATTTCTATGGCCATTATACCCAACGACCATACGTCAACTTTGGGGCCATACTGCTTCCGTGTCACCACTTCAGGGGCCATCCAGTATGGAGTCCCAACCATTGTTGTCCTCTTGTTCTGCTCAGGAGATATTTGTGCACAAAAACCAAAGTCAGCTGTAGAAAGATGGGATATTAATTATTGTTTCTGTTTAGTACAGTTAACTGATTATGCAACATATGAATCAAAATTGTTGAACCAACAATTATCAGAACAACCAACATTGTCAGAAAAATTTCAAACCTACATTTTATGTTCAAACTTTTTGTGCAGTATACATTAAACAGCTAAGAGATACCATTCTACACAGCAGAATTTTCAAGGCATAGATGGAAAGTTAAAGGAGGCATAGTGAGGCATGAGTATGAGATATGCTGTAAATAAAGAAGGGAGGGACTTCTAAGAAGATAGGATGGATTTCTGAGGACACAGATGTAAAGGAATGATGACAATGAAAGTAACCAAACTGTGTAGGGTAAGGATAAAAAATAAGTCAAGGAAACATTACAAAAATGAAACATGTGTTATGTGGGTCAGTACAGATAAGCATACTGTATTTTATGTACATGGGTGAAGGTACAGGCAGTCACTGATTTATGAAAGGGTTCATTCCTGAAAAAGCTTTTTAAATAGAATCACATTTCCCCATAGTCTCCCATTATAAAAGCTGATAATGAGTTCATGGAGGGGGAAAAAAAAAAAAAAATAATCCCACAAATTATCTGAACTGATAAAAACTTGTTTTTAATACAGTAAACCCTCTTTTAACCGACCTATATGGAGGAGGGGTGGGTCGGAGAAGCCGATAAGTCAGACAATCGAGAAACTGTACCAAAAATACATTACTGCGCATAAGATAATCACTTGAGTCATGTAAAAATCATAAATGATGTACTGTACAAGGTACAAATACATGTAAACACGGGTTCACCAATTTCCCCATTAATGTCATTGAAAAAAAAATTTAAATACAGTACAGAGTATGTTTGAAAATAATAAATATACGCCAATTTTATAAATTCAGTACGTAGGCGCTCAGCTGTGTAAGCAACTAGTGTGGGCACCAAATTTGTTTGATATTGTTTGGCAGTTGGTTGATGCTCTTCCAACATTCAGTTAAAATCCAATTATAAATTTATTTGAGCCCTAGAACAGCGAGTGCTAAACATGCATGTGCACCACTACAGCTTGTGGTCACAGAAAGAAGAGGAAAAGTGTTACATTAGCAAGAGCTGTCGGTTTGCAGCCTACAACTGTAGGTAAAACAATTTGTGGAAATTTGTGGGTTGGTTATTCGGGGGTGGTTAAATGCAGCTGTATATAATTTTTGGGGGTGTAAAAAAATGATTATAAGCCAAAAAAAAACATATTTGAAACAGACTGACTGAAGGACACACACACCGTGGGGTGGGGAGGGGGGAGGATCTCGTTGTACAGGCATTCTTTATACGAGAATTCGATGATACAAGGTTAAGGAATTTGCACCTTATATTCACTATACGAGCGACAATGTTTGATGATACGAGAAGCCATAATTTTGGGCAACATATTACTGTACTCACTTTGTACTCAAATGTAATGACTAAAGGACTAAAAATTTATTTCTTGTGCAAACTATGTGATGTTTATACTCAATTTATTTGTGCTCTTAAAAGGATTCCAGCAATATACAGTCTGCGCAGAATATTAAATTGCGATAGGGCTGACGAACTAAGTTTTCACAAAAATAATATCATATGTTGTGAAGGTTGTCCTGGGATGCGAGATGTCAAAACGCTTGGTTTGCTGGCAAGTGGTGACATTTGGCAACTGAGCACACATCACGGTGTGTAGTCAGTGCGCCTCTGGCAACTGTGAGGGGAAGATTTATTGTGCGGGTTCCCGCGCCTTATGGCAATGTTATGTCTAGTTTAAGGTGCATTAACACGACATAGTGGCCATTAGAGATGTCCAGGAGGGTTACTACAAGAGACGATATTGCAGCAGTGATTGCATTGTACAAAGCGAACCATGTACTGAAAGAAATTTTGACTCGGACTGGTGTGGCATTACGAGTTGTTCAAAATCTTGTCAAACGTTTCCGTGATCTTGGAGAGGACGAGTTACCAGCTCCATTACCTAAGTCTGGTAGGCCTAAATTATTGTCTCCACGGACACTTATGGTTATTTCTCGACAAGTTCGGTCCAATCCCTCACTCACAGAACGTGAAGTGAAAGAGAGAAACCCCCGTCTTCCGAGTCACGTCTCGTTACGTTGTATTCAACAAGCCCTGCGCGATGCCCTGGGATTTAAGAGCTTTCGTGCCTGCCGTAAACCTCTGTTGACAAAAAGACAGAAGGAAAATAGAGTGAAATTTTGCAAGAAATATGAAGTGTGGGATTTAGAGACATGGAGAAGTGTATTGTGGTCGGATGAGGCTACGTTTTCTGTGACTGGGAGTAGTGGTGGGAGGGTGTACCGCCCGCCCCACTCAGACACACACCTCCCACAGTACAGTATTACCCCGCTTTACACGGTTTTACTTTCCGCGATTTCTCAGCGCGGTACCTTGCCAGAACCAGACGTTCACTTTCCGTGGTGCATCTACTCATAATTTTTTTTTTTTTTTTAGCTCATAAAATTCATACAAATTACCCAGCCAGAATATAATTTACATTGCTGGAATTCTTACAATATGATGATCATTTTGAATATAAACATCATGGATTTTGCATTAGACATACAAATTTTTGATCTAAAGTAATAATTTGGTTTACACAAAGCAAATATTTTATCTTTTGTGCAAAATATATGAAGTTTTCATTCAAAATATTCCCTGACCTGCAAGGAATCCAGAAATGTCAATTATATTATCCTAACTTTAGTCTGAGGTATTATTTATTACTAAACGTTAAAATCTAATTTTTTCACCCACACATTTATCTGGTAGGGAAGGAAGGTGGGGGGGGAGGGTTGGGACCGACCAACCCAGCTGGCGTGAGTGTGAGGAGGGAGGGGTGGGGGCAAGGTGGGGTACTTTGATTTACAGATAGTGTCGTGAAGAATATTTTTTTTTTTATTAACTGAAGATATTTGTTTTAGCTCATAAAATTCATACAAATTACTCGACCAGAATATAATTTACATTGCTGGAATTCTTACAATATGATGATCATTTTGAATATAAACATCATGGATTTTGCATTAGACATACAAATTTTCGATCTAATGTAATAATTTGGTTTACACAAAGCAAATATTTTATCTTTTGTGCAAAATATATGAAGTTTACATTCAAAATATTCCCTGACCTGCAAGGAATCCAGAAATGTCAATTATATTATCCTAACTTTAGTCTGAGGTATTATTTATTACTAAACGTTAAAATCTAGAGTTTTCACCCAAACATTAATCAGAGAGGTAGGAGCTAGTGAGCTGGGAAGAGGGGATTTGAGTCCATTATTTAAATGGACATTAACCTGGCGACTGTATTTCTCTTAAATATTAATTGTGTGAGCATACCATCATAAAATTTAGATGTTATTTTTACTACAACATAGGTATTGTGTCGGAAAAAGTGGAGTTTGGGGGTCGGGCCAGTCTCTATTGGAATTAATCCCATATGTTTTGTTATTCACTTTACGCGGTTTTTCACTTTCCGCGGTACCCTGTGGGTTCAATTGACCGAGTAAATCAGGGTACTACTGTACACTGTAAAGACTGTTAAGCACCCTGCCTCGCTTATGGTTTGGGCTTCCTTTACGTATTATGGTGTTGGTGAACTAGTAATCCTCCCTAAGAACCAGATGATGAATCAGTACAACTATCTTGAACTGCTCAGTGATTTCTTACCTGAAACATTTGATAAAGCTAAGGCAAGCCTTTTCATGCAGGACGGTGCCCAATGCCACACTGCTAAAAGTGTCATACAGTGGCTCAAAGACTGTGAGGTACCTTTCTTTAATGACTGGCCTGGCAGTAGCCCAGATCTTATCCCAATAGAAAATTTGTGGTCCATTGTTAAGCGTCGTCTGCACGACGCTGACACATCATCAATCCCGAAGCTAGAGGCAGCCATCAAGGATACCTGGGCTAACTTGCCACCTGACCTCTTGCAAAACCTTGCTGACAGTGTTCCTCGAAGGCTAAAAGACTGTCTGAAGCGCAGAGGAAACACTACAAAGTATTAATTGAAGTGGTAAGCGTTATTTGACTTTACTGACCTAAAACATTATCGTAAATATGCATATTTTTTCAGCACACGATCTCACAATCCGCCGAGACTGTAAGTTATATTCTGTTCAGTTTAGTCAGCAAATATTTATAAGATAAAAATTTAAAGACTAAAACCACCTTCACCGTGGCTGGGAGGAAGGGAGGGAGAGGAGGTGTTGATAGCTGGGTGGTGAAGGTTACCAAGTGCGTATTTATCTGTCATATAGAGGGAGCTAAAGTTTTTTGATTATAAAATGTCACTGAATTGACTTGGCAGAATATAACTTACATTGCTGTAATCCTTGTAAGATAATTAATAATTTGAGTACAAACATCCCATAGTTTGCACTTGAGATAAAAGTTTTAGTAATTACCTTAGTACTTTGAGTACAAGAGTTTGTCCTTAGGACAATTATTTCATTTACTTTTTTCACAATAAGTATTTAGGATGGTGTGCATGTAAATGAGTAAAAATAAATGAAGAATTTATGCATATCTACCCAAAATAAGAGTTGAAAAAACCCATAACACCTCACAGCTTGGCCCAGTAGCATTGCCTGGTGGTTGCTGTGACTGGTCTAACTTGGCTACAGTTTACCCAGCCGAGTAAGCAAAACAAGCAGTGACGTGGTCTGTTATGTCTCTCATGACGCAGATGTGCAGAGACGTGTTTGTGACCAACTCCAGCAAGGCTGGACCCCCCCGCCATCCTCAGCCAAGCAGGACACCCCCCCCACCACCCTCAGCCAGGCCACGATCCCTCCCCACCACCCTACCATCCTCAGCCATGCCACGATCCTCAGCCATGCCACGCATCCCTCACCTACCACTTCATCCTCAGCCAGGCCTGCATCCCTCAGCCAGGCCAACGATCCCTCCCCTACCACCCTACCATCCTCAGCCAGGCCATGCATCCTCCCT